TATATATATATGTCATTTTGCAGTACTGTCTATTAGTTATTAAAATCCTAGTTCCGTTTTCTGCTTCTTGAGTTTGCTTTGTATGCAGTGACTTTTCAATTACTCGCCTTTAAGGAGTTATGTTTTGTGGGAAATATGCTTTCTTCCCTCTTATTTAATGGAAATCTACTGTTGACATTGAAGCAACGTAGCAAAGTGTACACTCAAAGCGGGATCATAGATTCATTTCAGTGCCCCTGCACCATTCTGCTGCTGTTGCTTGCATCAAAGTATGAATTTGACTTTTAGGTTTTATTGTTTAAGGGAATCCATGCCTAATACACAAGCAGTAAAATACATCTCTTAAAATATTTTACAAGAATTTTCTTTATGTAATACCATGTAACCTCTGTGTGATTTGCTGACATGGCAACTAAATGCTTTCTGGCAACTAAATGTGTGAGCCCATTGATTTCCCATTCAAAGTGTGCTTGGTGGTGAATGGTAACACAGGAAGCTACCCTCTGACCCTCACACCTGTGGTTTTCACAGTGCTCTTTTCTCCAGGTGTTGAGAATCTCTGCGAGCCACCAATGAAAGCTCATTGGCCTTGGCTAAAGTTGAGCAAGCGTGCACATTTTGTATCAGAAACACCTGGTAGACCTGTTTAATGCTCAGTTCTTTGGGTTCCACCCTACATTTCTCATTCAGAATGTCTGGGGTATGGAGATATTGGTGGTTCATTGTCCAGTTGTTTATTGTCTGGGGTATTGGTGTGTGGGAGAGTTAAGACTTCCCATCTCGAAGTTCCTAGCTAGCACCATGTTTTGAAACCATAGACCTCAGAGACAAAATGTGTTTGCCACTTTGGATATTGTCCAATACGAAGTTCTCAAAATGCTGTGTGCATAGGAATAACCCGAGGATATCGTTAACTGGTTCTGATTCATTAAGTCTGGGGAAGTGTCTCAGATTTCTGCGTTTCTAACAAGCTCTCTGGTGATGCTGATACTGCTTTGAGTAATGGAGATTGAAACAGTGGTCATGTTGTCCTCTTCTTGAGTAGGTCTTTGTCTTTGTACAAACTGTAATTCATTCTACATTGAAATGATTTTGCCTATGATTGGACAGAACAGATTCTTAGAGAAATTCTAAATTCATTTTGTTTAAATTAATAACTATTCCCCACCCCACTCCATCTCAGCTTCCTGAAAATCTAGTTAGACTTCTGTACATCTGTGATAGAGCTTGTTTGGCATCTTTTATATTTACCCACTAGAAGGATTATCATTTTGTGAAAACAAAATACACATGACATAAAACTAATTCTCCTTTTTCTCTTGGTAGATCACTTACAACTTTGGGGTTGGTGATATCATCATTGGCCGACCAGGCAGCTGGCAAGGGTAAAAACAAATTTGTGCCTTACCGAGATTCCGTCCTCACTTGGCTTCTTAAGGTAATTCATTGTTCTAGTGTTCCTTTCCAAGTAGAACTTGGCAATTTCAGATGTAACAGCCGAACAGGGTGTGCAAAGCTAACCAATACACAGAGAACTCTCGTGACTGTACCAGAATTGTGCTTCCTAGAAATGCAGAATGAAAAGTATTTTCTGTTGCTTTTTGTCCTATTATCATTCTGGTCAAGGAGCATTGCTCATTACTGTGATTACGGAGAGACCCCACTTCATCTTATCATAAGACAGTTTCTGAAATACAGATGCAGTTTCCAGGACATACATATGCACTGCCTGCCTCATGTGTGTTGGGTGTGGGAGGGGCCGCTTTTCCCAAATGACCTATTTGAAATACTTTGCAGGACAATTTGGGGGGCAACAGCCAGACCTCCATGATTGCCACAATCAGCCCAGCTGCCGACAACTACGAAGAGACCCTCTCCACATTAAGATACGCAGATCGAGCCAAAAGGATTGTTAACCATGCTGTTGTCAACGAGGACCCCAACGCAAGAGTCATCCGAGAACTGCGGGAAGAGGTGGAGAAACTGAGAGAGCAACTCTCGCAGGCTGAGGTAAATCAACCTGGTGGTCCCTGTGGGTGAAATTCTCTTGGCTTGTGGCTTGCGACTATTGAGGTCGTTTCAGTGTTTATTGGCTTCTACTGTGTCCTAGGCATCATGAAGACCAACATGAACAATGCCAGACTTTGCCCTCGGAGCTTGCAAACAAATAAGAGAGCACTCCTGCTGAAGTCAGCTGGCCCTTAAGCTTACATTTCTTCCGGTGTGAAAGTCTAGAGTGCAAACTTTTCTAGTTTATTAGCATTGTGGATCCCATATCCACAGTGCCTTGTAGTTTTCAGAGATGCTGGTTATTCGTCTTTCACTTAATACATCATAGAGGCAGTGTGATTGATGAGACTCTAACACTAGGAGTCATCGAGGAATCTCCATTTGCTTTTTTATTTATACCAGCTCCTGGCACGAAACAAAATGAGTAATTTTGCTTTGCTACCATCTTCCCACGTCTCTTCCGAGCCTGTAATAATCACACACAATTCCAAATAGCTACTGCTGTGTGTAGGTTACTGAGTGAGACACTGTCTCATTTGAAATAGGCAAAGGGGCTGAGATGGAAGCCATGACACATGCTTCCACGTTCTAGGACTTAGGCGTGCACGTAGACATCTATCTGTAAGTTCACATTCTTCATACCACTTTCTTTTTACTCTTCTTTAGGTGGGAGAGTGTTAAACTGGGGGAGGAACATGATGAGAGTTTAATAGCAGCATATGTTGAGCACTTACATGCCTGGCTCTGTTTAAGTACTTTTTTATCCTTCAGTGTATTTGATCAAAAAGTAATGAACATAAAATTTAAAAAGAGAGAAAAAAAAGGTAGGGGAGCAGATGAATGAAGCCAGAGATCTGCATTCTCCAATAAACTGATGATTGTGGCATTGCATTATAACAATTTGTGTACACGTCTTTCTCTTCTTCTAGGTTATGAGCCCCTAGTATAACATTTGATATTGGAAAGCACTTAATAGAATACCTTGCACATAGTAAGTGCTCAATAAATGTTGCTAGTTTTTGTTATTATCATTAAACCACCAGTATAAAGTGCCAAGCATCTTGTGTTTTCTTTCGTTTTGTTTTTTAATTGATGCCAACAAGGATTACAAAACTTCCAAAAAATTAAAATGTTGATAAACTTTGAAGAGAGGCATGATCCTAGGAGGAAAGTGTATTAATCCTGGAGTTGGTTTACATGTGGATTATCCATTGACTTCTACTTATTTCCGATTCTGCATTTCCACTGCAACATCTAATCTAAACCAGATGGCCAGAGCAACACTTGGCTGAAAGAAAAAGAAGATGCCTCAGGAGGGTTTTTCCTAGAATATCCATGCACAGTTCTCTGTACCCAGCACTAAATGTCACTCGCAGGCTTTGTTAACACCTGGGATTTAGGCAGACTCAGCTCACCTCCAGATGGTCAGCATTTCAGCTTCTTGTTCAAGCTCTCCCTTCCTTCTTGTTCACGGGTTTGACTCTGTAGAGATTCAGTATTGCTATGAGATGTCATAGCATATCATTGCCTAGTTTAGTTCAAACACCTTTTTTTTTAAGCTGCATATATTTATCTTTAGATCCTTTGAGTTTGCTCACTGAACAAACTCAGAGAACATCATTACCATTTCAAATAGATGTCCGTTTTCCAAGCAAATAATATGTGTGCTAAATGTATCACCATCCATAGAGAAAAGTAGTTATAAAGGGCCCACATTCAGTTGTCATTGTACTAAGTTCTTTCCAGTATCAAATGTTGAACTTTGGGGATAAAAAAATTAATAAAAACTCAGGGATAAAAAGGCACAACTTCCTGTAGTTCCAGAACTCACAGGCTAGACGGCAAGAAAGACGTGTGGCGTTTTCAAGCACATGAGAAGAGTCTTGACTTTTCCCAGTCCACAAATCTATCTGGAGTGCATTTATTGGTGAAGAGTATTGATCTCTGGTTGTTTTTCTCTCCTAACTTATTTAATTTGAAGATGAACTTTAGCATTTTGTAGATCTTGCTACACATACAAGTATGCTGGGTAAAATTCCTCTGAATGGTTTGTGTCTGTTCAGGGCACTGGTATCCCATTTTTTTAAATTGCAGCAACCATGTTTGCTTGCAGTTTACTTGATCAATAAAGGCCTGAAAGCTACCCTGAGTACCTGTGAGTTCATTACTTGCTCTTGACAGCCTTTTGATAACTGCTTGTTATTGTTGTTGTTAAGTGCTGTTGAGTCGATTCCAACCCATAGCGATCCTGTATAGGGTTTCCAAGGAGTAGCTGGTGAGCTTGAACTGCCCACCTTACAGTTCAAACAGCTTTGCAGTCTGACGCATTAACCCACAGCGCCACACCAGGACTCCTGATAACTACTTAGGGAAAGACAATAAATAATTGTTTTGTATGTAATGATGGGGGAAAAAACAAACTTAAATTCATATGTCTTTGGTTCCATTTTAAAGGCAATGAAGGCACCAGAACTGAAGGAGAAGCTCGAAGAATCTGAAAAGTTGATCAAAGAGCTAACAGTGACTTGGGAGGAGAAGCTGAGAAAAACGGAAGAAATTGCACAGGTAGCTCAATCACTTAGGCCTGAAATGTTGTGATTTGTTGTCTTTTTATATAACCTCTTTGTTGTTGTTGTTATTGTTATGTGCTGTGGAGTCGGTTCTGACTCATAGCGACCCTGTACAGGGTTTCCAAGGCTGTAAATCTTTACAGGAGCAGAAAGCCTCATCTTTCTCCCG